GAATAATTTTTTGTGGGAATGACCACTGTTCTTTGGGCAGTAATTCAACGGCAACAATATCGCCGTTCACTGCCCGATTACAGTTCAAACGACCTTGAATAAACCATGTGTTTTCATCGCCTATATGCACAAGCGCTTCCGTGTAATTTTCTCGCGAAACCTGCAAATATAAATTCAATTATTTCAGACAGTATCATTACCAAAATATTTACATGAGATGTTTTGTGATGAACTAGGCAGTGATCGTTTCAGATACTGAACAACTGATTCTATTGTTGATCTCAGCATTACAGTTCACATTATTTTCACATTATACCATTACAGTTCACATTGTATCAAGCTAACATTTCGATGTTTTGCTATCATCATGATATTCTAGCAAGACTCTTCGTGGAAAAAAGAAATCCCTTTACTGATTGTGAGAGCAAATTTAGAACGTTGCTCTAAATTAGTGCAGGCCATGAGATTAGGCTTGAGGATTGACGACCATTCCATTGTGAAATTCAACCCCAAATTCCAAAAAAAAGCATTTGCAAAAATACTTTACTTGAAAATTCCCTTTCTTATACTTTCCAGATTTTATACCACTCTGGATTTGCTCATAAGACAGGTGTTCAGGGAACATCATTCGCCCTTGTCCTTCCATTTCATGCTCATATGCACTGATCTTATCCAACAGCTCTGCATTATTGTCCATTCCTTAAATACAAATTCGATCAAAGTCACCACTGAACAACTAAATTCATAGAATCAGTCAACTTGAAATAATATGTTCACGATCAGTTCATAACCGTTTCTCCTCACTGATCTGTCACACTTGAAATACTATGAAAATGAATTGAATCAGTGCATAGTTGCGCTAACCTTCGACATATTCTTTCAGTGTCAAAACCCTCTGAAAAGACTCCTTCATACCCTGCTTTGCATCTTCAGTTGAACAAATAATAACAGGCACAATGTTCTCATCAGTCCAGTGTGTTTCAAAATAGTTCGCACATAATACCAATGAACGTTCCAGTCTGAACATTTCGACAATAAATCTATTCTTCTCTAA